TTCAGACCCAGAAGGGCGCGGCCCTGAAAGCCGGCGCGGCCCTCAGCATCAAATCTGAGCAGGGGCCTGGTGCCAAAGGGGGCCTCTGGACCTGCCCCGGTGCCCACAAGGGCAGCCCTTTCACTGTGAACAAAGCGCTTCGCCTGGAGAAGCCCCTCGTGAGGCAGGCGTCTTCTCATTTGTACGTCTCCATCCCAGACTCCGTGCTCACCCCACCCGAGATGGACAGCGGTCCGGCCAAGGGGCCGTTCGGCGCCTCGCCCCGGGCGGCTCCCTCCTCCTCGGGGGACACGCTGTCGCCTCCGCTCTCGGGGTCCCCCTGTGAGGAGCGGGGGACCGCCACCCCCTTCACTCCACTGATCTATCCCCCAGAGATGGAAGTCCTCCAGCGGTTCCACACGGGCAACGTGGTTGTCCCCCTGATGCATCAGCTGGGCAGCTCGCACACCAGCTCGGCAGGCTCCCCGGGGCTGTACACGACTAGCACGATCCGCTATGCCCCCGCGGATATGACACTCGCCATGCCGAGCAACATGCTGCCGCCTTCCCACCCCATCAGCCTCATGGACATCGGCAGTGCCGAGGCCAAGACCTCGCGGGAGCTCATGTACCATCACCTGCAGCGGCTGAACATGGTGGCGCCGTTTGGGAACTCGGCCGGCTTGGCCCAGATTTCAGGAGGAGCGTTTGCGGCCGCTGACTCTTTGTTTTCCACCCTGCCCTTCTCCGTGGCCAGTGGTGGGATCCACGGTGCTTCAGCTTTGGAACGCAAGGAGGATTAACCCCGGGCGATGGTGCGCGATCAAATCGGTGTCTTCTTTGCCCAGAGAACCACAGCCGAATCCTGCCCAGAATAGAGCTGTCAGATCGTGCGGTAGCTCAGTTCAGTGCTGGCATTCTCAAAACCAGGGGAAGAAGTCTTTGGTCCTGGGAGAAGTTCCCACCCGTGGACCTTCTCATCGCACCCCTTTCCTAGACTTCAGTGCAAAGGAGTGGAAGGACCACCTCCAGCCCCTTCCTTTGAAGAGCTCTGGTTGTTTGCAATGAGGCGTTTTGTGAAGCGAGTGGAGGATCTGGCCCAGAGGAAAGTGGAGAATCTGCGCAGGAAAAAGAAGCGCAAACGTGCAGAAGGTCACCTCCCGCACTCTTTCTTACCTGTGTCCCTGCTGCTACAAGTTGACTTATTTCAAAGACGTGGGGAAGGGGGTGTTATGTTTTGCCTCTCTGGGTTTGTCAGTTGTCAAATATAACCTGCATATATGTGCCAATGAAAAGTAGGCAGTCACTGCCCGTAATGCCTCCCCTGAATGTGCTTATTCCAGGATATCACACCAGCAGTTAACTTTTTGCTCATGTTTCAGGCTTGTTGAATTAGTCCTTGAAATATGCAATATGGTCAATTCCATATTAGTATCGAGCGAGGATAAATCAAATGGATGTAATCATTATGCGTGTGAACTTATCTTTATTGTACTCCCCTTCTAGGAATGTTGCCTCGTGTTCCTGCTTTCCCTCCCCGAGAACCAATTGGCAACTTTTCCCAACCTGGACTTTCCAGATACACTGACCATTAACCCCTGGGGATAAAGGGAACTAGTCGGACAAATTTGGAAGGCACCCGATGAGGTGACCTGACTTGCCTCTTGTGTTCACCTTGGCGGAAGGAAACTCCGTCGTTCTTCCCGGGGTTCCGGAGCGAGTGGTAAAAACGCTCCTGAACCCATCTTAAGGTGGAGTAAGGTTGGATGAAGTCTGGCCAAGTCAAACATGCAGGACACGCCAAGTTGCCCATCACCCAGTGTGTGACATAGAGGTAGTTTTCTAGGAACATCAAGTCAATACTGAGCTATTAAACGCACTGCCCGTTGTTCTAGCCATCAAGCAATAGCACAGTAACTAAACACAACCTCCCTGTTAAGCAGCAGCTTGAGGACCAAACGCTCTTTAAGCCCTTTGTCCACAGCGACAACAGACTAGGTTGCCTTCTAGATTTGGTCCAGCGAGGCTACTCCTGGTTCCTCCCTCTTTATGCCATTCCAGCTCTTTCGATCCTTTCCCCGGTTTCTACGTTAAAGGCCCAGCAACAGACGAGAAGCCTCTGCTGGGCTCCTGGTGCACGCTGGCTTAGAAGAGGGGTGAGAGCGGGCAATGTGGGCGAAGACGGCACTTAAGCGGTCAAAAGAATAGGCTGTAACTTTGAGCACTTATTCAAAATAAGCTCTGCAGGTCAGTGGGAAAGGGAGGGAGCCCACCGAAGACGGTAGCACTTGGATGATGTTTTTCCCCCCCTCTATAACTCATTGCTAAAGAACTGTACGTGTACGTGAGTGTTTTTCTTTTATTAATCTACTGTTCGCATTGGGTAGATGAAGGTAGCTATAATTCCTTGTTGAAATTCTGCTGCTTCTTTTGGCAATCTGGGACTTCAGAGAACATTAAAATAAAGATATTTCTTTCCTGCCTTCTAAAATGATTTCAGTAGATTTGACAAGCTTTTTTGTTATCTTTAGAGGCGTCTTGTCTTAATTTTGGTCTTGCAGATTCCCATTTTGAATTAATTAACCAATCATCCCAACCCGTATCGAACCACCAAGCACCTCCCCAGCCACTGGAAAGCCCTTGAAATGACCATATCCTTATGATTTAACCCAAACAAGCATCATTTCATGGAAGCCTACATCTGCTTTGGATCAAAAACTTCCCAAGTGAGTTTCCTGAAATTCAGTGGGGATGAAATTTAAAGGGACCAGAGTAAATTGTGAGCAGTTAACTCAATAGCTAAACAAGCTAACCTTCATTAAAGCTTCCCCCCTCCAGGGATAATTCCAGAAAAACTGTGGCTTTGCTATTTCCGCCCGCCTCAAGACCCTTCTTTGCTCGTGTGTGTAAGAATAACGATAAGCTGCACAAAGACAACTTGGAGACCCCACTCCCTACTCCTGCAAAGAAGTACAGAGCACGCAACTTGCTTTTGGTGTCTTTAATATAAATGTCGGCTGACCAGAACAGCGGCAGGTCCAGCGACAGAACCGATGCGCATCCGATGGGGAGGGGTCAGGAGCGTAAGCGAGAGTGGGAAAGCCAAGGCAAGCTGTGCAGAAGACACTAACAGAACTGGCTTTTACTCAGATTTTTTTTTTTTGCTGAATGTGGCTTTGAAACAAGAAAACCTGGCTGAAGCAGAAGGGGGGGGGTGTTGCAAAGCAGGCTCGCTCATGAAAAGCATCAGAGAGCCTTGTGTAGCAAGAATGCATGCTTCTGGAGGGCACATTCGCTCAGAGGAAGGCCCTTTAAACTTCCTTCTTTGCCCTCCCAGCGAACTGATTTGCTACTGCTGCTCCCCAGGGCCCATCCAGAAAACCTGAAATAAACAGAAAACAGCCAACACCTCCGCTTGTCTTTCATTTGCAGGAGAGCCAGCCTGCCTTTCTTTCTTCCGTGGCGCCATCCGGCCCAACTACCACCGAGCTGGCCTTCAGAATCATTCCGCAGAGTATCATCGTGTCCAGAAGGGTCGCTTTGACCTTCATTTTTCTGACTTCCCATCCTCCCTTTTCTTATCGTTAGCATCATCTTGGATGATTTCTACCTCCAACCGGCCGATGTACAGAGAGATGGCACACAGCCAGAAGAGAGCCACCGTGATGACCGCAGCAGAGTTCAGGAGAGCAGCCGAGTAGGACAGCATCATCGTGCGACGGAGGAGGAAGAGGCTGACAAAATAGGAGGCGCTGCCATACGAGACACAGATTCCCCCAAGGATGAAGAAACCTAGAGGGAAAATGCCAAGGTTCACTCTTGCTGGAAAAGAGAAGGACCCATCTATAACTGCCAATAAGGCTAACCCAACTGTAGTCTCCTATTCGCCTGGGGGGGGGGGCAGAATCCCTTAATTCTCTTGTTCTTTAGCTATTCAGCACTACGCGTTAACAGAAAAAGATGAAATTGCAGCCTGCAGGCTTTCAGCGGTTACAAGCCATGGTGTGAAAATCCTGCAGCTGTTTAAGAACCCAAGTTACTGGTATCAGTGACTAAAACTCATTTTCTAGATGGGTGAACAGATGCTCTACCTCATGTAGGTTAGCCCAGTGTTTTTCAAACTTGGCCACATGTGTGGACTTCAACTCCCAGAATTCCCCAGCCACCTACGTGACCCATTTATTTTCAACAGGTTTGCTGAAATTTGCCCACCCAGCTGGATCTTTTTCAGATAAGATTGCGTAAAGCAATTCTTCACACCAGCGCTTCCCAAGCCCCTTTGTCCCTCTGAAATGACACCACTGGCTTATGTTAGTCCAATATGGCGAAAGTTCTAAGTATAAGGTACCAATTCCTTACTGTGGCCAAGTTTAGAAATATTCTTTTGGAGCTGTTGAACAGATTCAAACAAATACTGACTTATCGGGCAAGTCAACAGGCACTAAGTATCACAAATATGCTGATCTGTTACTAACATGTACACTTTTTATTATCTCTCAGACCGCTCCAAGGAGCAAAACACAATCAGCTTTGCATGTTATCCGTACTCCAAAATGTTCGCCTTGCACGTGCCTAGAAACAATTTATTCCTCCTTCGCAAAATCATCACTCCTTGAGAGACATTACACAAAGGGAAGTTGACACGAACTCAGCTGCAACTGACCCTGGAGGCTGAGCTCTAAAAACTCGCAAAGCTCAGTGCCTGAGCGCCAAAGGAGACGAGAGAAACCCTCTTGCTAAGAGCTCCGAGTCCCCTTCCCCAGGTGAGGAGGTCACAGACTCCCTCATGGCCTCCTTCTGTAGCACCTGAAAGAAGTTTGGCCTCTTCCTGGACCATCCAGCTCACTGGGAAAAATGTGGGCAATGCTCAGATGGTTAATCTGATAATAGGTTCGATAATCTTCACAACAGTCCTGAACAGGCTCGCCAACTATCTTGGGTCATCGTCAACCCCCCATGAGGGGCGCTGAGTGCCTCTTCAGGACCAGCCTTACCGGGACCCCAGCTAATTACTGGAGGCCACCGCTTCTCTTCAACAGCTGATTTTCTGGACCACTCATCCTTCAGGTCCACGACCCAGAGTTAACCTAAACTGCTGGAAGGAAGGTGCCACGAGTTGGTGGCATCAGAAACCCCCCCAGCAGGGGAATTAGGCAATACTGCGAAGAGGTGCTCAAGATCCTCCCCTACAGTAAGCCGGGATGGCCCGTCTCCTGCAAAAGGATCCCATCCTCCTCCTCCTCAGAGGTCCACCTGAGATGGTATCTCCATGCTACAAATGAAAGGTTGCTGGAGTCCACCCAGCGGTTCCTGCCAGGTGAAAAACATGGACCTGGGCTTCCTGGCCATCATGCTTGCGGGAGCCCCAGCTGCCCTGACACCAACGGGGGCCGTTCGTGGCCAGGCTAACTGGGCATCCATCCTGGCAGAAGAGCCTCCAGATTACTCACCATAGGCTGCTTCCCGCCCTGTGTCGCCCTGCACGTAGGAAATCACGCCAATGCCCGTGGCGAGCAGCCCGTTCCGAAACCAGGATAGGAACGCTGCAGAGAAAGGAGAACCAGGAAGGCACCGTCAGCTCAATCAATCAATCAATCAATCAATCAATCAATCAATCAATCAATCAATCAATCAATCAATCAATCAATCAATCAATCAATCAATCAATCAATCAATCAATCAATCAATCAATCAATCAATCAATCAATCAATCAATCAATCAATCAATCAATCAATCAAATGTATACAGCAGCCCATCTCACAAATGTGACTCTGGGCAGTGTACAAAACAACAGAAATACATCTTAACCACTAAAAACAATAAAACACACATATGAATAAGACCTCGTTTTCCCGCCTTGTACAGGAAGTGCGATTCTTCTCAAAAGCAAATGCAGTGAATTCTCGGGGGACGGAGGGTCTTCTGAGAGGCCGCACACAGAATCGCAGTTTGCTTCTTATTTTTTTCCTTTTCGTTATATTGTTATAAATCTTGATACATTGCATTGTTTCAGTAAAATCACATTTATATGATATGATTAGAGATTGTTAACTTCCTATTATTTAGGTAACTTAAAACATTGAAAATAGAGAAAAGAAGGAAAAAAATAATCAAATTGTAAGCTAATTACAATTTAGGAGGTCAATATTACATGCATCAAATTATTTGGCTAATTTAAATATAACATTAAATATAAGTTAAATATAACGTTAAAAAAAGAACTGCAATTCCCATCAAAGTATTGGTTTTGATCTTACGTGACATCAGATTCTCCACTGCATTGTTACTTTGTGTGTGTGTGTTTGTGTGTGTGTTCATTTTTATATATCGATGAAAGGAAGGAGTCCGAGTTTGACGGACTGCAACTCCCATCATCCCCGGCAGACAACAGCTGTGGCGGCCCCGGCAGAGCCCGCCCAGATTCCCATGTTGCCGGGTAACAGGCCAGCCCCACCCGTGACGTCACCCGCGAGCCCCGCCCTCCCCATCCTCCTCACCGGTCTCGTGACTCTTCCGGAGCAACCAGGCGTCCGCCTTGTCCAGCTCCGAGGCGGGCGGCAGTCCCGGGCCGCGGCCGGAGTTGGCTCTCGT